AATTACAAGGAACAGCACAGGTTGACTACGTTAGCAAAAACTAGCTAAGATGCATGAGAAGGAAAATGAAAAACAGTTTTTACATGCGAGAGTGAGAACAAATAGATGTGTCTTGTAGTATGTCTTCAACATCAGTTTATAATTACCTCTCTTCAAGGCATATTTTCGGTGGACTTGTAACGGTAGCTTGAAATATCAACTAGAAAAGGATCCAGTTGTTCGGGCCCGGCAACAGAATGGGGAGGGGGCAGCTCTGAGAGACCAGGGCAGAGCTGCCCTGTTTTACTTAATCCTTCAGCATTATCCCAGTCAGCCCTGGGAAGCCTGTGATTGTAGAGATGTGTTTGTTTATTGCCCTGTATCCATTAACTCTTGCAAATTACTCCAAGAGTTTGTGGCCAACACAACATTATTTCAGAATTTGTGTGACACAGGAATCTAGGTTAAGCTTAGCAGGGTACTTTGGATCTCTTACGAGGCAACGGTCATCTCAAAGCTCAGCTGAGAAGGATTCACTTTCTAACTTGCTCAGGCACAGGTTTCTTGATACTCTTGGCTGGAAGTCTCCCTTGGTTCCTTGCTACTTGGGCTTCTCTATTAAGTGTCTCACAATAAAAGGGAGCTTATTAGCAGGAAGGAGGTCTTGGGCTTTTGCAACATAATCCCAGAAGTGACACATCATAACTTTTGCTGTATTCTACTCATTAGAAGGAATTTAGCAAGTTCAGTCCACTCTCAGGAAGAGGGGATTACAGAAAACCCTGCATACAGGAGATGGGGATCATTGAAAACCGGGTCAGAAGCTGCTCTAATGAGCATGATGCTCGTGCTCTCTTGCTGTGTCTGAGTGATGAGACATGTAGTGAACTGTGGTTTGGCTGCAGTGCTAAGCATAGCTTTCAGCAAGACTAATTTGGGGGCATTGAATATGATCCCCCTTATGTACCACACTGGCTAAGTGTTGAGCTGAGCTCCTAAACCCCAGAAGATCAAAGGAACCAGTCTTCAGGAAGGGCCTGTCGGCCCCTCTCTGAGGTCATGGAACAGAGTGAAGATAAGGGACCCTCATGGCCTTATTAGCATGGTGTGCTAAACACAGGGGCCAGAAGTCCCCCATCTTGTATTTCACTATGTGTCGCAAGGTTTTAATTGGTACTTTACAGCTTATTAGCGAGAAGGGACACTATGCATTGATGTATTAAGTTGCTATTAATAATGGAACGTCTTTACAGCTTATTAGCGAGAAGGGACACTATGCATTGATGTATTAAGTTGCTATTAAGATAATGGAACGGGAGGTTTTGCGTGTGTTAATGGTCCCCCTGTCCCCACTTCCAATTTCCTGAGTCCTATTGTAGATTTTTACCAGTGAAGTGAGGAAAGGAATATGGATTTAGAAGTTGTGGCAACTGATGGCGAGTTTTCTTTTAATTTTTAAAATTCTATTGGAAAATCCATTTATCTTTCCAGGAAGAATTCAGGCCTAGGTTTTCACTGCCCGTTGTGGGTTAGCACCTCTTTTTGGTTGCCACATCTGTATTTGGGGATGTAGACATGAAGTATTCTAATTCTTTTGTTCTAGTTGCGCTGCTCCCAGAGGCCCGGTGAAGCCTCCGTTGAGTCCCTTCGATCAGTGCGCCCCTGGCAGCTTCACACTCCAGACAGCGCCAGCCCTCCCTGTGCGCCTGCGCTAGTTCTTCACGCAAACGTCAGTTCTCACACGGAGGAGCTGGGTGTCCTCACCTGTGTTTCTGTTTGTGTCCCCACTGGAAAAAGCACAACACACAGCGTGATCAGTAGATCTTAGGTAGCTTAGCGTCCATGGCATCCAGTAAGAAAGCTGGCACACGGTTTATGTTTAAAATATTGGAAATCATGCCTGAAGGTGCAGTAATATATATGTCATTTTTGGTATTTATTAACTATCAGTTTTCAATGTTGATGATTAATTTGCTAAGGAAGGTAGTGTAAGATTTTATTTATAACACACATATTAATTTATTATTAAAAATAATGCTGGTTATTATAAAGTGATATTTCTCTAGAATCATAAAAGGATTGATATTACTTCCTTTTAACAGAAGTCAGGCATATTTTAAGTTTTTATTCCCTTCTATCCTTTGCTTCTTCGTTTGGTTATAAAAGATCATGAGAGAATTTTCTTTCTATATTTGTAGGAATATTACATGTTTCATTTCCTCTCATTGTGGTGTATGTGTGTGTGTGTGTATGTGTGTGTGTGTGTGTTCAAACAGGGTCTCACTATGTAGTTCAAACTGGCCTTGAACTCATTATGTGCCCTAGACTGGCCTCACACTTGTGGAGATCTTTCTGCCTCAGCCTCCCAAATGCTGGCAATACAGGCATGTGCCACCATGCCCAGCTCATTATTTTGTATTTTTAATACTCAGTCCTCTGCCTTTGGTATACTTGTGAATAGTCAAGAACTTTTGTATTACCTTATATTTTCAAGTATGACTAATATTAGATGGCTGTGTTTTAAGTGGTATAGAGGCACCCTACATCTGTCAGCCAAGGACTGTAAGGTGAAGAAACCTTGAATTTAATGTGGAACAAAGTTATATTCTCCCTTTTAAAACTATTTATAAGAAATAGAGCTTTGCTGGTATAGTGAAAAAAATTGTTGTCCTTTTTCTGGTTTTATTTTTGTATTTCAATATGGCAAATAAGACAGAGCCCAATTTTTACTAAACTAGCAAAGCCTACCACTCAGCGTGGCTCTTCGAGTTGGGAATTCACTCTGTGAGCTCAGGCCAGAAGCTGTGGAGCCAACCAGCGTCATTTGGTCTGTACCTGCCTTGGCAAGTCACGTTGTATTTTAATGTTCTCTGTCCATCGGATCTAGGTGGTAACAAAGTATCACAAAGCATGAATCATGCCCTCTTAGTTTCAGCTTTTCTGATCAGAGGAGATGAATCTGTAATAGGGGAAGAGAGGTTTCTATTTTATACAAACAGATTTGGTATTTTTAATTCACACAAGAACGTAGCTAATCTAGTAGCTAAGGCTGCAATCTCTCCCTGTGAGCTGAGAAGAATGATAATATTTTTCTGTGTGGATTATCACTTACCACTGTTTAGTTATTCCAATAGACTCTACAATAGTTTTTAAGTCTTGGATTTATTTCTTTTTAATAAAAAATCAGAGCTATTTTAAATCCAGAAAGCTTCTCGCTAAAACAATTAAACATTTGATCCCACTTTGAGCCTGTTTCCCTTGTGGTATCATGTGTAAAATCAGTTATTTGCATGTGGCAAATCAAATTCACAGGGCTTGAAGTGAGTTCATCTCAGCTCAGAAATCTATAGAATGGCTGTGCGAATAGCGTGTCACTCTTCCACACCACTTCGTATGAAAAAGACAGACACTCTTAAGAACCCATGATTTCCTGACGAATTGGAATCACCTACATGTGCTGCATTTGTGACAGGCACATTTGCAGTTGGGGGCCACAGGAAGGACACCATTTCCTGGATCAAACCACAGAGTGCAAATATTGTGCCCTAAATAACACACTAGTTACTGTAAATGTCAGCAGAGGGAGTTTTTCTGACTTTGATTTAATGAAAGCCTATTGCAAAGCCAGCTGTTAGCACTTCTTAACTGCTTGTCAGAGGGGCCAGGGGAGATGGAAAGGCCCAAAAACATCTTTTCTCTTACTTTTGCCTTAAAATTAAGAGTTTCAACAGGTGTTAGATAATGACACCGGGGGTCCTTTAGTGCTTGACTTCTTTTAGACGGTGAATTTATAAGCTGTCCTCCAGGACAGATCTGTAGGTACATAAGGACACTCGTGTAGAATGAAGGTGCAGTTTGCATGTTGAATTCTCGCACTTGCAAAGTAAGCATTTTTTGTTTCTGGGTTCCTCATGCAAAATAGCACAAAAATAAAAGAGAGAAGGCACACAAAATGCTGGTTTTCTCTCTGTCACTTCGGTTATTACCAAACTAATTTTAAGCCATGTGTGCTTTGACTGATGTCATCTGCTTTTTTCTGAACAAAGAAACCACTTGAAGCAAACACACAAGCAGAAAAAGCATGCAGTTCTTGTTTCTGTAATTTTTGTCATTTCTAGAATGCATTAGTAAACACATGTGGTTAGTAAGGGCCTTACCACCCTTTGAAATCCCTTTGACATTATGCTGTGAGGATGGAAGGGAGATAATCTTTCAGACGTAGGGAAAGTTTACAATCTTATTATTTTGAAGAGGAGAAGAAAGTTTCTTCCTCGAATAATTTATAACTTGAAACATGTTGTCATGTTTTGGTAAGCCCACTTTATTAATTCCATCCTTCTCTGTGGCAAATTAAAAAAAAATAAATGTGCCATTGCAACATAATACTTTCTCAATAGCATATTGTACCTATAACAGCATGATGGAAGTCACTGGGCTTGGTTCAGTCAGATGGAAAGTGGAGCCAAGTTCTGAGTAAAACCTCTAATTGAATTACACGAGGAGCACTGACAGACAAGCTTTTGGGACGGGCGAAGCTCTGCTTTCCCCAGCAGAGATAGGTCATGTTTAAGTCAGCCTTGCCTTGCAGCTGTGTGTCACCGGTTTTGCCAGCACTTTCACCCGGTCTTTCGTGGGCCCCTTATCCTGCAGTGGAGGAGGAGCAGCTCATAAAGCAGAGGGCTCAAGCGTTATCCTACTGATTTAGAGAAAATTGATGACAGATCAAGTTAAATGGAAGCACCTTTGAAATAAAAGTCCAAAGTATTTTTCCCCAGATTACCCACATTCTTGCATACTTCTCTGCTGTTGTGAAAGGAGAAGACAGGGAGATGAAAGGAGCCCTATCCTTAGCAGTTAAATCAGTCCAACTAACTGGTGTTGTTAGTTTATCTTCTGACAAGAATTAAGTCAGGTACCTATTGGCCATGAAAGAGTGTACCGCAGACCATTTGCATGTGAACCTAAGAGTAATTGGTTGTCGTTCTCTCCTTTCTCTCGTCCTCTCTCTGCCTTCTCCACAGCCTCTGCAATCCCAGATAATGGAAGAAGGTCCTGCCTAAAGCTCAAAGTCTTTGTGAGACCAACAAGTAAGTTCACTAGAATGGGCCTCAGAGGGTGCCTTCACTGCGCATGCTTGATCGTGTGGTCTGGTTCAGAGCGGTAAAACTTTTTTTTTTTACTGTTAAATTTTGTGTGGTATCTGTTTTGTATATCAACATCCATGTTTTAGTTTTCATCGTATTTTTTCTCATCATTCTTCATGATGCTTTTATTTAAGTACACAGCAGTTGCTAACTTGTTGTTTCTTAGCTTGTTGTACGTGAACAGCAAATGGGAACGATATTGGCATTTGGATACATGCCACTGACTGTAAAAAAAAATCTCTCCATAAATAAAAGAAAAACTAGAGAGAAAGAAAAGAGAAAGAAATGGGAGTTTAAGGGTGTCTTCACTAACATATTTGGCTGTTATCTCTATTTTTGTTATAGATAGCTGTATGAAAACTATAGGTGTTCATGATCGTGTTTTCGATGTTAACGACAAAGTAGAAAATTCATTAGAACCAGCAGGTTAGTATGCTTAGAGAATCTCTTTTAACAAATGCATCTATCTCTCTGGTGCTTCAGTACTTTTTTTCCTTTCTTCTTCTCTGCACGTTTGCATGCTATAGTTGTTCTGCATTTGTCCATTGCTAGCAGTGCTAATATTACTTATATTCTACCTCATTCTTCTGGTATCTTTGTGTAATGCATGTTAGGTAAAATATAACTTTTCTTTTTCGGACATGGGTTTCATTTAATGCAGTATCCTAATGTCGAAGCCCCATCAGAATGCTAAAATCTCACTGCCTTTTACCATATCCTCAGAGCATGCTGGTGAATCACTGAATCATAAAAGATCTGTTTTCATATAAGAAAGAAAACATTTCTGTTGTTTATGTTTCAAAAATTTTCTTTTTTCTGATAGCCAGTTCTGTGGATGAAAGTAGTAAGACTGTTGCACAAAATAGTGGCTAATCCAACATACTTAATTTTCCCTACGAATTTACACATATCATGGAACTTAAGTAAACAGCTTTATTTTATTTCAATATTTTTGTGCTGTTGTCAATAGCAATTGGTCCGAAGAAGAATAAACATATTGCCACAAGTTCCCACACCCGTTGCTCACACCCAGGTAGACGGTAGCTTATTGAGACAAATGTGATTCCTGAGGCAAAATAAATTTTAAGAATAAATACTTTTTTGTACTATTCACTTCACATGCCCAAATTTTCCCGTTCCTGTGAGAAAAAATAAAGCCCACACGAGGACTCATGTAAGCATATTGTGGGTAATAACTTATAAGCTATCCGTTTGGCTATAAATTCAGTCCGACCATTCCGTGCAACTAGACCTGTCGTGAGGGAGGAAACCTTCTTTCCACCCACTGCTGGTGGACGGGTGTGCCTGGGAGATTCTGTGTGTGCCCCTCCTGTGTGGTGTCTTTTTCCACCTACCTGCTCGAGATCTTCATGGCTTTTCTTAATTATCTCAAAGCTTAAAGAAAGTAAAATTATTTTCTCTTCATACCAAGATTTGAGTCCCCTTCCTTATATAAAGATCCCCCCCCTTTGGGGGTCTTTTTGTGTGCAGTAGGACTTCTCTTTCTTACAGTCCTAGAAATTAAAGGGATTGGAGGTCCACTTTATCCTGAGTGTTTTTAGGGGGATAACAGTCGTGGAGCCTTAGAGAAATGTCCCCTGAGTATGCTGTGCCTCAGGACGTACAATAGCTTTCATTTGTAACTGACAGGAAGAGTTGGGTTTTTTCCCCCCAAGCATTCTCTGTCTTTCTAAGGCAGGCATCTCACCCAGAGCACAAATGAGAGCCTTAGAGGTTCCCCAGGGATCAGCTAGCCTCTTTAGAAAGTTGCAAGGAATGAGTGCTGACAGGGAGACATTTTTATCTTGTCCTGGAAATCTGGGAGCTTTACTGTGGCCTTTCAAAGGACCAGACTCCTCCCAAGCTTGTGGACATAGGCTATCATTGACACTAAAAGTCCAGCAGGATCTCTTTTAAGGACTATGGAGTCTACAGTCTTCCTGCTGTAACTGAGGAGAATCGCCTTGGCCACACAGCCAGTTAGATGTATCCAAGTTTAATGTCCGTAACTTGTGGCTCCCATTCCAGTACTATTATAAAAGTGCTGGTTCTTCTTTTGCTTCTTTTGTTTTTTTTCCATTTCTCGAAGTAAAGGCAAATAGAACAAGTACTGGCTTTGTCGATAAGTCACAAATAGAATGATCAACAGAGTTCGGTGTGTTACAAATAAAACATGCCCCCAAGATTATGATTTTGTGATACATGTGTAGAATGAAGGTATATCTTTCCTACAATCCTTTTTCCAGGTAAACTTTATTGTCTATCTAGAGGGCAAGAGGTTGTTTAAAAACAACAGATCGCATGTTTTTATTTTTTATTTTTTTCCAGGACTGAAGGCACATTAGGAAAATTATCTTTAAATTCAACTAATGATAAAATGCAAGATAGTAAGACTTTCATATATAGCATATGTCATTATCTTTTGGGTAACCACCTCTTTTTTCCTCAATATTTAATATTCACACTTCCCCCAAATCTATGAATATATAACTGGTAGGAGTTTTGCAAACTATCGCAGGATTTACTTGAGTGTGTGCATGCGCGTATGTGCGCACATGTGTGCACGCATGTGCTGGATGATAGAGCACAGGTGAACATGCAGGAAGAGCTCTTTGAGTCCGTCATGGCTATTTTTCAGTATTTTCTGGTGAACAACTTTATTAAAAGAGCGAGACAAGGTTAAGTCACAATGGCAGTGTGAATACAATAACAAATTTGAGTAATTCACTTTATTCTTTGGAAAATTCAGTCCAACCTGAAGTTCTTCAAGTGTGAATATTTATCTTTACCCACTCTGAGGAGAGGTGGACTGTGAACCCACCGAGCCTGAAAGGATCCCACTGCATGTTCTCGGCAATATGTACTAATTCACCTGTCTTTGGAATGTATTTGTCTTTTTGTTTGCTTGCCTACTCTGCCTGCCAGTTTCCTATCATCAGGGATGCAGGATGATCTCAGGGCAGACATATGCCACATCACATGCTCCAAAATCTTGCTGGTGTTCTCTCAGTTAACAGTGAAACCCCCATGTGGCAGAATCCTGTAGCCAGGAGACAAGAATTGATTTGGCTTCTGAAGAGGAACATTTTCTTCTTCCAATCCATGTTCACTGTTACAAGTGTTAGAAATCCTCTCATATTTAGGTGTAATTGCCATTGGAACAGATGTTGCTTAGGAATTCTGCCTTGGAATTTTGATAGTGCACAGATTTACCCAGTTGATAGCCACTTCCTCATTTCAATTTTGGGGGTCATAGAATCTCTCATCATTGAGGCTCTGATTTAATCAAAGGATGCTTCCTAAAATACTAATTGGAGAGCATCATGTTACAAGAACAAGAGAAGAGTCATAATGCCCTGATGTGTGGCCTGGCTTTTCTCTGTGGGGAACATGATTGTATATATTCATTTATTGCTCAGGAAAGAGCTAATTCTAGAGATGGCCAATAAAAGGCACAGTCAGCCTCACGCTTCACTTAGATGAAAAATGAAAGCCTTCTGCTCAGTTATTCTGCAAGGTCCTTTAACTATGTCTGGAGATGAGTGAACTGAGAGTAATGGCTCTGGCTCACAGAACACCAGGAGGGGAGCAGAAGCTGTAGAAGTGTCCCCATTCATGCTTAAGCTGAGTAACTCAGTTCTGTTTGGCTACCTTTTAGCAGTACACCTCCCTACACAAGAAGGATTGTACAATGTGATAGTAAGAATAAGGTAGACAAGAACCCAATACATGATGCAATTTCAGTTGTCTGAGACAAGAACCCAATACATGATGCAATTTCAGTTGTCTGAGTGACGTTTCAAAATGAATTCTGAAATCCTCTGAGTTTATGGTTCTTTCTCAGTTAAGCCTGAAGTACTCCACTGTTTTGACTGACACCACTTTGGTGCTCTTAAGAAAGTGATTTGGATTTTAATTTCAGAGTTATTCAGGGCCTTTGCTTCTACCTCCTGTTAACTACAGATTTATTAATACCATGGCAAGGCTAAAAAAGAACAGAGAAAAAGGGAGAGTCTACAAGTACTTGGCTACATTTTGCAGGGTTTAATATATTTCTCTGTGAATCACTCATCTTCCCATTCTTGCTTCCTAACCTCTTCTAGTCTCCTAAGCTAAAACCACTCCAAATAGGCTTGCTGAGGTCCAGCAAAGGCAAGCAAATCAGACAAAGGGGTGCAGCAGCTTCTATATGAGGATGGGCTAAAATGATAAGAATACTCATGGCCAGGGCAAGATATGCCATACTGAGAAGACATATTTCTTAGTTCACATGGGGAGTGACTGTGATGGACAGAAATATCTCAAATGAGCATGTCTGAAGCAGGAGCCAGCCAGTCAGCCCCCAAAGAGGTCATTTAAGACAAATAATAGGGACTGTGGCTCTACCCTGTTATGACATGTTATGTGGTAGAAAAATATAAATGAGTTTAAAATAATGGGTAGTTCATCCACGGAGAGGCTCAATGTAGGTCATTCAGGGATATTTAGAGATTGTCTTGTGAGATCTACATAACAGAGCAGCCACTAGAATCTCACTTACCACCATCCTCTCGGATTGACCACGGAGTGAGTCGCAGGTGGCAAGTGCTGAGCTCCTACAGGAAGTTCCCTTGTTGCTGGATAAAATCTGCGCAGAGGCTGCTGTTGTCCTCAGGATGGCCTGGCATTCAGGGGCTGCTTGGTGTGGAAGCACAAGTGGGAGGAAGGTGGCCAGGTGGAAGGGAGAAGATGGGCTACACTAGAGAATAGCATGGATCCTGGGCACGCCTCCATCTGTCTCTGGGAACTAATTACTGCAAAGTTCCCATTTCGAAGTTAAGCCTGTTAATCATGCAGATCAGGGAGGCTATCCAAAGTCAGAGGCAGTCTTGTAGAACACTTTATAGCTAAATAAAAGAAGCTTAACTCACTTAATCCATTTTATTTAGAGGAAAATTTGCATCCATGCTGATAATTTATGTGCCAAGTTTCAGCCTGATAAAAATAAAAATAGTCAAGTTCAAGTAATTTAATCCTGGAGATACAGGGCCTGTAATAGAAATAGCACCATAATTGATTTCTAATTGTAGCCACACCAGTGGGTACTAGTTTATTGAAGTTTCCTGGGCATTATACGTAGTTTATTTAAAATGCTCTTGTTTTGGCATTTAACTTTTCATATTTGAAAATTCATCTAGGAATCCAACCAACCAACTCTAATCCTATGAAATGGCTTAAAAGAGGAAAATGAGCAACCCTTTCTGGTTAACCACTAATATACCGACATAACTGCCTCCTTTCCCTATGTCCTGCAACACGTACTTTCTTTCCTGTGCATCTGAGACTTAACAGGCACATTCAGCATCTCATGTTCGTGCAAGGTGTATCTGACTGCTAGCAAACTGAAGTAGTTCATGTTGCAAAGGCTATAGTGTATGCACTATCCCCCTGCCCTCCATTTTAAAGGAAAGTACTAATACTGCCATGAAAGTCCAATTTTCTCTGCCTCTCTTTTGTTTGCTGTAAATAATGAGTGATTATGCAGACATGAAAGTCAATGGTGGCACAAGGTTCATTACCCTACTTTGCAGAGGGTGGCGAGGTCTGTTAACAGCAGGCTGCTGCGAGAGAGTTATTAAGGATGTGAAATCTCATTGGAATGTGTGCTTTCTATTTGAACAGATGACACCGTACATGAGTCAGCCGAGCCATCCCGCGGCGAGAACGCGGCACAAACACCAAGGATACCCAGCCGCCTTCTGGCGATCCTACTGTTCCTCCTGGCGATGCTTTTGACATTATAGCACAGTCTCCTCCCGTCACCTGTCACAGAGAACATCAGGGTCTTGGAACACCAGAGATCCACCTAACTGCTCATCCTAAGAAGGGACTTGTTATTGGGTTTTGGCAGATGTCAGATATTTGTTTTCTTTCCTTCAGCCCAAATTCTAAGCAACAGCTAGGGGTTGGGAGGCTAAACTAGTTGCTGCCTCCATTCCCCCACCCCACCCCCAGTCCTTGCCCTCGACTTCTCTCACCCCCTCCACATTAAATGGACTCCAGATGAAAATGCCAAATTGTCGTAGTGACACCAGTGGTTCGCCAGCTCCTGTGCATTCTCCTGTAAGAGCTCACCTCCGTTAGTGCACCGGGTTGGCGGGATACGGACAAGGAAGAATAGTGGCAGATGCCGCCCGTGATGGCCAGGCCCGGGGGGTTCCCGCTCCTATACAATATTTCTGCCTTCTCATTCAGGACTGTAAGATGATCGTGCAGGGCATCGTGTCACCATGTCAGGTCCAGAGGGGAGGTATTAAAAATAGATATAATAGTACACCATTTCCTCTAGGAGTGTATAAATGAACAGGCTTCTAAAAGGTTGAGACACTGGGATTTTTTAATATGACTGTCTTAAAACATTCTTGACAGCAAAACTTGTGCTCTGTAAAAGAAACCTTTTTTTTTTTCTTTCTTTCTTTCCAGGAGGTGGCTTGGGTGCAGGAATGCTAACCCAGAGCTAGTGTAAAAACAGAGAAAACTCTATGTTTGGTGGGGTGTGTATGTGTGAGTGCCTCTAGTTCTTTTGGTGACTGGGCAGTGGACACCAGATTTTTTTTCTTTGAATACAGATCACCATGGTGCTACAACTTTTTTTTTTTTTTTTTAGCTCAAAGAGGCATTTTTATGAATAAAGTGACCTTCCCCAAGGCTGACAAGCCAGGGTTGATGAGTGCAGAGTGAAATAGCTTTGGCTGCTCCTCTGGGGGACAGTGTGTACCAAGGAAAGGAAGTCAGTGGCCAGAGGAGATGTGACTGGGCTTTGCTGGAGCGCCAGTGTGCTGTGGCCTTTCCCCGACTCCCACCCCAGTGCCCACGTTTTGCTCCGCAGGGGACTCAGACACAAACCCCTGTCACCAGGAGAGTCAGTCAGCACTACTTGGGAGGGCTAAAGGGAAATTTGGAATAAAAATTCCAAAGTTTGGAACAAAAGAAATTCAAGTGTTGATTTTATATTCTTTCCCTTTCTGACACAGCCTAAAGCATAAGGGGAACATGTGTTTATCTGTGGGAGATAAACAAGATGGAGTCCCAAAGACTTTAACAAAATATTTTTTTAAAAATCCACTAGAATAGAAAATACATTATTTAGATATACTTTATGCTGAGAGTGAGTATATATGCTTGTCCTATTTAAACATGTGAGAAAAAGTGGTATCCCTTGATACATTTAGAAACACAGGGGGCTATCTTGTTTCATTGTGGGGGTGGGGCAAAGGAGAATAAGCATAGGATAACCCTGTGTAAGGAATTTTAGCACGGCCAACAGGGGACATTTCCAGTTGATTACCAGGAAATGTAAGCCTTGGGGTTTCTATTAGTGGGGCTCTCATGAACTTTAAACTCCAAAGCCTAGACAGAGAAAAGTGTCAGACCAATGAAAAAGCGATCTAGCCTTTTTTTGCTATTGCACGACATGTCAATAGAAACGATGCCTTTCAAAGTAAGTAAATCAATAAATGCAATGATCGTGTAAAATGTGAAAAAGTTGAAAGCATTCCAGCAAAATAAGGATTTTTATATATTCGTTTTTTAAGATGTATATGTAAAAAAAAAAGTGTGGGGGGTCATATTATGGACAGACTTCATGAATGGAAATTTGCTTAGAATTGTGAGTAGTTTTGAATTAGAAAAATATGTGAATGAAAGGCAGCTGCAAACGTACTGCACCCTAGAGAGTTGTACACATGTTGAAATGTAGTCTGGGCTAAACTGATCCATTTGGAGTGGATGTTACTACTGAGTCTGTTCTCACTTAGAACCATGAGTGGGGTTGCCAGCCCCACAGATACAATCAACCCTTTCCCCCTGACATCAGGAACTTTTCTGGAGTGGCAGAGTCTTATCACAGAAGGCACCCAGCATTTCACTGAAACAACAGTTCACAGCATTCGATTCCTTTTTCCTTTAACTATTTATATGCTCAGTACTCTCTGTAATATGAAGAAATATTCTTGTTTTTTCTTAATAGTTACAGGCTTGTTGGTCCAGTAGGATTTGAGTAGGGGGGGATGATACCTTCTAAAATGGATCAATAGTCAGAAACAAATAATACTGCATGTTCTATAACCAAGGAAATCAAATGATCCTGTAATGATTCCAGTTAGTCATAACTACATTAGCAGTGCTAAGTTCATTTTAGAAATGGTGACTTCTGTGGTTTTTCTAGCATTTGTCTCTAACAAATGATAAAATAATTACTCATGGCCCTCTTTGCCATTGTCTTTCGTTTTTCATGGGGAAATTAGACCCTTTTACTTCACCATTGTGCCACCACAAATTAAGTAAAAACAAGCAAAAATTAGCGAGACTATCCGCACCAGTAGACTGTATGCTTCTCTACCTAGAAGTGATATATTCATAGCTAATGCACTTGCCTTGAAGTCTTCAAGAAGATGATTAATGCTGGACAGTTTTCATCTTGTCCAAAAAGCGCTGGTGGCCTTTTGTGGTGGTGTTACAATCCTATGGGGGCATAGGAGGATGTCGATGCAACTCTGTAGCAGCTTTTAATTTAAAAAAACAATTCAAGAGCTTGAAGGGTAGCCATAGCTGGCCCTCAGCCCCAGTTGGTCAAACCTCAGCGACCTTTGCCCCTGGTTGCCGAGGGCTTTGCTACATGAAGCAGGGAAATAAGGATCTGTCTGTTTAGTGGATACCGTGTATCCTTTAATAGACCAGGTAACAGTTCGTGTTAGTTTAGACTATTGTTTTGTACTGTACTTTCTTGGGTGGCAGAGGAAAGAAAAGTAAAACATTAAAAAAAAAAAAAACCTGCGTTCTTTAAATTCTGTATTATTAGCAACCTCTGTTGTATATAGTGTTTGATAATAAAGTATTAATTTGATTCTTATGTCTTTTGTAAGTGAGAACAATAGACTTTCAGGATACAAAACATGCATTGAGGCTTTGAAACATCCAATGTGTCCATGGCTGAGAAAAGTCACAAGTGGCTGAGACACTGCTCCATATAGGACTCATGTGTGGTCATCACCCACCCAATCCTAAGACTCCATCATCCTGTGACCTGGAACAACAAGACTTTTTTGATCAATATTGTGTCCTCAATGTTTTCAAGGTCTGATGTTGGAGCCCTGTGATCCTTCCTTACCTTGCGCATGTGGTTTGAAAAAAGACTTAGAGAACTTGGTAGCGGTTCTGTACTTTGGTTTGGTTTTCTGTTTGTGGTTGTTTCGTGGACTGTTTCATTTTCTCCCCCAAGAAGAGTCTTGTCAGTAAGAAGTGCAGAGCAGGCACAGGAATGGCTGCACGTTAATCCCTTTAGGAAGGTTAAATGGGAGCCATTCCCCTGTCTGTGTCGTTGTGAAAGGAAGAGTCACACAGTACCTGTGGATTTTCAGGGACTCTGTTTTTCTCCGGTGCCTTAGCAACGGCTGCAGTCATTTTATTTCTTTTTAAAAAATTAGAAAAAAAAAAAAAGGTTTAAAATCTCCCTTTCATTCATTGCTCAGAGTTGTGGTCACTAGCTTTTCTTTTGAAAACACCTCCACTGATACTCCTGTTTGCCTACCCCCCATTGACTTTTTATGTTTATTTTGTTTTATTTTTTGTCTCTTGCCTTCTTCCCACATTTTCTTTTCCCTCAGAGCCGTAAATGGGCTATCTCTGGTTTGGCATCACTGAGTTTTTCCCATGCATTTGCCCCAGAGCTGTTTGGGTGTGAGACAAATCTCCCTACAATGGGCTTGCTCCCATTGTCTGTACAGTTTAATAGATGCTGGCATGTTGGAGGTTACCCATAAGTCAAAATCCGCTTTCCATGCTTACTTTTGACACCCCATTGAAGCCACTCATTGTGTGTGCGTCTGGGTGTGGAGTCCAGCTCCGTGTGGTCCTGTGCTTGTACTGCCCTGCTTTGCAGTTCCTTTGCACTTACTCATCGAGTGCTGTTTTGAAATGCTGACATTATATAAAAGTAAAAGAAAATGTAAAAAAAAAAAAAATCCACACACAAACAAACCCATATGATCTGTATTTGTATATACACGTGTCCATACAAGTATACCTAAATAAAAATTAAAGCTTTTCACCATTTTAATTGGATCCCTCCTTCTACTTATTTGTTCCTTGAATGATGCCTTTATTTTAGGGCCTACTTGTACTCTGCCGATTTTTCAAAATCATTGTGGACAAAAAATATAAAACAACATGCACAAGAGAAGGCCTGTGAAGCTCAAAGAATGCAGGGTTAGAAATGGCCACATATCTAGGCACATTGCAGTTATTCTGAAAAGATAATGGTGAGATTTCACTCTTGTCTTTGTATTTGAGCCTTAAAATAGGCAGTATGATAATAAGCCCTGCATCTTAAAATGAGTTAAATATAGCAAGAACTATACACAAATTATGTTCTTTCATTTTGCACATATATTTTCACCCTATCAAAAAGAAAAAACAACCAAATAAACATTTTCCTAGCAAACATTCTTCAAAAAGAATAACAGTAAAAAACAAAGAAAGAAACCAACAAAACAGTCACTTCAGTAGGACCTCAAACCTGTTCTCACTGCCAAGGAAGAATCAACTTGGGCAAGTCACACAATATCTTCAGGTCGTAATTCCATTTTAACAGGAATTTAGAAGTGATTTTTAAAGATCTTTTTTGGCGGGGTGATTTCTGAATTCTGCTCTTGTGCACTGTGAGACATGTTTTACATCGAAATGATGAGGTTTTTGTCTTTGATGAAGACATTGATATACAAGCACAATTTGAGAAATTCACCTGTAGAGAGAAATACACCAAATGCCTAATGCATTTCAAGACTTGGCTTTAATTACACCATGTTAACATTACACTCATTGAGATCATTTTATTATACTTAAGTATTTGACAGGGCACTAAACAGTAATTAGAAGTTACTATGGCTTTTTTTTTCTCTAATGAATGACAGCTTTATAGAAAATTCATATTTTAAAGAAAGATACACTGGACTATCTATGTGACATTTTCTAACCAGAACAACATTACGTTATCATTACCATCTTCATCATCATCATCAAAAGCATTTAAGTAATCATGACATTGTGCTCCATGCTGTACAGACTAACGCCTACAATCTGTACTTTCAAAATTTACAACGTAAGGCAGACGTTATGTATAAGCATAAGTTGTAATGACTTATAGAGCAGGAAAAAAATATAAAATCCAAGGATTTGTACTATGTATAAATAATAGGGGAGGTTGTTTCATAAAAAACAAAGTGAATAAAAAATGTTTGGATTTTTAAGACTAGAAAGTTTGAGTTAAAAGAAATCACATTTAAAAATCAACAAAGTGAGGTCAGAAGCTTATAAAATTAAAACTTGGTGAGTTATAAACCATAGGCTTTACTAAGAGTGTGAATCAATGTATGGAGTAGATTTTCATAGTAGCTACAAAGGTGACTGTGGAAATGAGGAAACGTAAATAAAATCTAGTGTCACTGAAGCAGATTTTGAAAGATATTGGTCCAGAGAAATCACCATTTCTTCCCCTAAGGAAATAGAGGAAGTGATGAAAAGATGACAATTTCAGATTCCACTTTATAGAATAATCAGCTGCTCCAAAGCTGAGACCCTATCTATACAAGATTGTTACACA